GTGGTTGTGGTCGGCGATTCCAGAATCGTAATCCAACAAGCGCAAGGATTAATAGGTTGTCATCAGCCTAATCTGCAACATCGACTTGCTGAGTATGAAGCCTTGAAAGTGAAATTCGGCTCAGTACGGTTGGTCCACGTCAAGCGTGACTACAACCAGGCAGCAGACTACTTAACGACGAAGACGTTGGCACTCGGGAAAGCGTGGGTGGTGGAAGATGCGGATGAACTGACGCATCTGAAATTTGTCTCCAGGATCCCGGAGAAGATCATGAAGACTCCGGAATCCTCGGAACGAAAGGACGACGCAAGTCAGAGCCTGAAGAGCGATCATCCAATGACATCGTTTCAGACCCTGTTCCAAACACGTCTGAGATAGTAGCACACGTGAAGATGGTTACAACCCGAAGTCGTTCCAGACAAGTTGACCAAGTGGATGACCCTGCCGACCACTTGACTGTCGAGACGAACGTTGGAGACGCATTAAAGCCCACCAGGACAGGGATCCAGAGTTAAAAAGGCTCAAGGATTTTTTGAAGGGTGACCTGTTGAACTATACGCGGAAGGAAGTCAAGAAAATCGCGAAGGGTTCAGACCGATATGTTTAGACTCAAGAGACGCCCTTTATCGTTTGGCTGCGCCTACCCCGGAAAGTCCTAGGGACAAGCGTTCTGAACTTCGACTAGTTGTACCAGAAGCCTTGCGACCCGACATCCTACACCACGCTCACGAGGATTTCCAGAGTGGCCATCAAGGCATCACCAGGACATATGAGCGTCTGCGTTCAGAGTTATTCTGGACCGGGATGTTCCAAGACGTTGAAATGTTTGTCAAAGAATGTACGGATTGCGCGTCCGCTAAGGGGCGACCACCGAATCCAGGACCCTCTCCCGGAAATATTGGACCGACCGGTCCATTCGAAGTAGTGTCCATGAATTTTGTCACACACCTTCCGAAGTCGGAACGTGGGAATACCTTCCTACTTTTGTTTCAGTACATGTTCACGGGCTACGTTATGTGTAAACCCATGAGCAGTACTACCGCTCAAGACTGTGCTGAAGCCTATGAGGAGGTTGTGTTCAGGAACTATGGCGCAAGCTCTGAAATCCGTCATGACAGAGATTCCAGGTTCATGAGTCGGGTGTTCCGTTGTTTCAGTGAGATGATGGGTATCCAGCAGAAAGCAACGCTCGCGTATCGCCCTCAGGCCAATGGCCAGCAGGAACGGTCGGGCCTGACAATTATGCACAGTATCAGAGCGCCCGACCAAACTAACTGGGACGATCACGCAGAGAAGATTATGCATGCTATAAATACCTCCTTCAATGTGACTAGATTGGATACGCCGTTCTACCTATTGCACGGGTTCGATTGTCGAAGTACTATAGCAGCTATGCTGGGTCCAAAACCGACGGACGTCGCAGAGCGTACTGCGTATGAATGGCGCCGATTATTGCAACGAGACTACAGCTACGCCCACGGCTGCGCGGAAGAGCTCCAGAGGAGAGCCAACCGACCGCGGTCCGCGGTTCAGACTCAGAAGTGGGAGGCCTTATCGGATCACCTCAAGTCTGGTTTCGAAGTAGGTGACTCGGTCTGGTTATATATCCCGAAGGTTCTGCCAGGTCTGAGTCGTAAATTGGCTCATTTGTGCATGGACCATTCAGGATTGAACGGGTTCGGGACGATTTCAAAGTGAAATTGAAAGTTCAGGGCACGGGTTACCGTGTAGAGCCATGGGTTCACATCTGTCGTCTGAAACCACGCGCCTTGTTCCCGAAACGGCCGTCTGCAAGGATTAACGTTCCAGAAGACGATGGCTTTGATGCGGCACGTTGCCGGAGGATAGCTGGGAACCAGATTCAGTACACCAGGAGTACGAAGTGGAGGAAATCGTGGATTTGAGATGGGCCAAGCGCACCCGGAATGCCAAACGTATTCGCAAATATCTCATCAAGTGGAGGGGATAAGATGAACCTCAGTGGTTGCCCGTCTCACAGCTAAATTGTGGCTCCCTTTTATACAAGTTCAACCAGTCAGCTCGTGCAAAAGCTCGTTTCGCAGCCATACAGTCTGGGAATGATGACAATGCGAAGCTATAGGCTCCGATCCTGAGAAATCGAGTCTGGTTCCAACACTTAGGTATCTCGTTTCGGATGATTCACACGTTGTTAGAGTGACCGAGTGGTCGCGCGCGAATACTTGGCTAAGGCAATGTGGTTCCAGAGCTCGGTATGAGTGATGCGTATGGAATGGAGATTTGTTGGGCAGTCTGCTCCGCGTTAATGTGACTTTGACGAGAACGGAGCAAGGTGAGACATCAACATCTGATTATTGAATTAAATGGATACGCTATGATATGCATGGGTATCGAAGGCCGAGCCTGAGGTGCACTAAGTGGCCCCGAGCCAGACACTCAGTCGGAGTTGGAGCCTGCTGACGCAGCATCTTGGGCGAGACGGAGCTGGTATAGTTCTTTCGTAGTCCTTGGCTTCGAAGTGGAGGGAGGTCCTGGAATTGGCAGCAGGTTTCTGGCCCGCTCGATCTTCGGGAGCAGACGTTTAGAAACGAACGCCTCTGGTACGTGTTCCAGACGCGCAGTTTCACTCGCAGCATCTGCCCAGAGTGTACGCGCAGGTTCTCGTTCGTCCAGCTCCAGGAGTTCTGCGCGCAAGTCGGCAACCCCAGACACGGTTCTGAAGTTCACTGAGGGATCCTTGAAGATCCAGTAGCATATAGTGTTGGGAAGAATCCACAAGCCAGGCTCGTACCAAATCGTCTTGGGGAACTTGTCGATCTTCTCCAAACGCTGTACCAGAATGAGAAAATTCCGGACCAGTGTCTCCTGACACTTGCGACACCACAGGTGGAGTTCCTTCGCTCGGTCGTCCTCCATGGAGATCGTGAACCAGTGTAATATGTACCACCAACCTTCAGCATGTTCTTCCATGGACTCCAAGTATTCTTTGATCCCACGCAAGACTCCTTTGCTCAGGTCATGAACATGGCGGAAGTAGAACTCTTTGGAGCGGTTCTCAAACATTTGGACCCAGGGGAGTACAAAGTCGAGAACTTTCGGCTCCCACGCACTTGGGTCTGAACCCGAAACGTACGCACCTGCCTCAGACAAGTTGGGCCTTGACGTGGTCCCACGGTGCCCCTTAGTTCCAGACTTCTTCACTCGAACGATGCCCAAGAATTCATCCCATGTCTCCATAGACCAACGATCCTTGAGATATTTGGTCTCGTGCTTGTATGGCTCGTACTCTGGGAATCCGAGAGTCTGGATCTTGTCAGAGAACTTCATCTTGATTCCGAAGATTCGGAATGTGCTGGTAACGTCTCGGTCACAGACCTCGATGATCAGCAGCTCGTCTTCACTCAGGGACTGGAAGTCGCGAATGGCCAAGTCTGTGGGATGACGCGCCCCTTTGGCGCGACCGATGTTCGTCTTCACACTCTTGACGACCTTGGTGTCTGGGGTTCTAGATGTTGCCTTGGATTTCTTGCTAGAGGCCGGCGAGGGGCGTCGCGTTCCAGAACTCACTTGAGTGGTGGTTTTGGGACCAGCATCATCAGTGTGTGGTGGAGCGGGATCAGCAAAATCTGCGAAGATGCTGGATACGGCTTGCCACTGTGCCCAGGACACCGACTATAGGAGGGGGTACTCCTATTGATCCGTGATCAGCTGAACTTCCTCACCTTGTG